AATTAAGTGTTATGCTTAATTAATTAATTGAGCTTTAATTTGGGATTAATTGAAATTAATCACCATTAGCATTATAATGTATTCAGATTTTTTTCTATTTAGTCTCAAAAAGTCGTACCATTAAGTGGTGAATTAAGAGTTGTTTTATCCAAACTTCTTCCTATTTAGTGGAACTTTAAACGTGTCCTAATGGGAGAAATGAGGTGCTTAGTCATCTAATCTTTATGTATTAATGTTACAAGTGGCTTTAGGAGAATTAATCTCCAAAAAGCTCCCCACCTCTCGGCCATGTATATAAAGAGTTAAGTTGGAGAAATTTTCCATCCTTTTCCATATGTATATTCTTAAGTTCAGCATATAAGTTCATAGTGCCGAGAGATAAGAGAGTAAGTTGTGAGAATTTTGAGTGTTGTTCGTGAGCTATTGCCGAGAGCTTTCTACAAGCCATCGCACATCCGAGCCATTGCGCCGTACCGCAAGCAGTTCGCGCACCGTAGGCTATCGCAAGCAGCAATCGTCGCACTCGTATCAGTAGTCCTTCACGGCAGCCAGCATATCGTTCGTTGATCAAGAGTACGCAAGCATCCACAAGTGTTGTAGTAGTCCGTCGCGCGTACCGCAAGCCATCGCACGGCGTCGCACACACGCGGAGGGTCACGACCGAGTACGGGAGTTCGAAAAGATTAGTCACTTGGGCTTAATCAAAGGTAACTTCGACGGTTGTTGACCGAGATTAGCATGTTTATTAAGTTTAATTCTTAGTTAAACGTGCATGCGTGTTAGGTGTGATAAAAGCCGTAGCCGTGCCGATCATGTTATGTTCTAAATTAAATGTTCCGAACTATCCTCTCATATTCAGCTTTTGTATGCCAAATCATGTTTAGTTTAACTTAAATGTTCGGATGATAAGTCATGTTTGCGGTGTTGCGGCCAAGGGTGACGTGGTTGCGCACGTAGCGCACCACGGGTCGTATTTGTTTGCTCAGTATGTTAAGTCCTTTATTCTCGAGCATTTTCATGAGATTTATTCAGTAGATTGTTAATCACATTCAGTTAAGTTGGAATTGCCGAGAATATTTGAGATTCGGTCGTAAAATGACACAACACCGTCGGCGACGCTCGGTGCGTTCGCCGCGGCCAAAGTTCAGCCCTTGTGTAAATCTTCATGTTTTCAGTATAAATATGTTCACGTGTTCATGTCAAGTTATTTGAGGTCACTTGGTTTAGAAGTTGGGGCTGAGCACGGGTCTTGGAGATTACCGAACCGTACCGAAAACCGAACCGAATTCACCCCGAACCGAAAAATATCCGCTGACCGTTTGACTATCTCCGAACCGAACCGTATCGAAATTTTTTTCGGTACGGTTCTGGAGATTAATAAAATATCCGTACCGAGAACCGAACCGAATTGGACCGAACTGAAAATAACCGTACCGAACCGAGGAACCGAACAAGAAACATTTACAATTCATAAAATCCACATATATATATATTATCTTATTTTATCATATGTATTTTTTTACACTTTGTACATAATTTTATTCAAATAAAATCTATATACATTATGTATATGTCCATAAAACTACCATAAGTTATATGTCAAATTGAGTTAAGAAAAATCATCCACTGTTGAATGTTAATAGAATTTAAAACCTAAAAAAAATAATTATTTTATTTTTGTATTACTTATGAGACACTAAAATCTAAAATCTATAATATTCTTTTATTTAACAGCTATATATAAATTGATTATTCATGTACGTCTTATCACATGCAGATTTTTTGGCATATAAACGTTTATCATATAAATATTTTAAATTATATTATGATAATTTGCAACTAAAACATTATTATCACTTTTTGTATAAAATAACAAATATTTTAACCACCTATTCTTACTATTAATTGACAAAATATCTTTTGAAATTAAGATAGGTTTATGATTTGCTTTCATCCATGATATGTACCATCTAACACGCAATTAGGAGATTTTATAAAAAATAAAAAATAAAAAAAAAATCTCCGAAATCTCCGAAATATTCGATCCGTACCGAACCGACCCATTGGAACCGAATCTCCGGACCGAACCGAACCGAA